ACCATGAATGGCTGATTCTTCTACTTAGGGTTGGACAAACCCTAAGCATGTAACCTAACTTTTCTCTCTTTTACTATTTTGGGGATTTAATTTATGTAATTTTTTGTTATAACTTTGATATATATATAATAATTCTTTCAATTGATTATCTTTGTCAATCTCATATTGTTTTATATGTTTTTGAATGATAATTGATCTTTACACTTGATTTTTTTGTGAGTTGAATCATGTGATGGTTATGCATTGTATTAATCAGATGTAATTGTGTTCTGATTTGATGGAAATTGCTTATATTAAATGGGTTGTACTACATAATTATTTTAATGTCTAGTTTAAATAGTTTAATTTCATGTTTGGTTAGTTTAATTTAAGGTAAATTAGTTAATTGCAATTTAATTATTAGGAAAGTAGACAATCCATACAATTATTTGAAATCCATACTTATTGTCACAATTGCATATCCTCTAGATTAAAGTGTGTTAAATTTGTAACTTGGATTAATGAATCATGCTTTGAATTGGTGAACTGCACTACACTTAGTTTAATTGTCATTAGGTAGTTGATTCATGCTTGAAGTTGATGGTTTACACTTTTCATTGCAATTGTTAGCCACATTTTAATTACATGTTATTATTTCCCTAATTAGTTGAAAGTAAGTTAGGGAATGTGCTTAGTGGTGAATCCTACACCTTAAGTCTATTTCCTAATCTTTAAAACTCAATATTTATTTGCATTATTTAAATTAAAATTAGTTTTAATCACAAAAAAAATTTCTTTTTAGCAATCACTTAAGCACTAAAGTAGAATTCAATTCCAAAAATCTATAATTGTTTAGATCTCTTGGGACGATCCCTTCTCGCTTTATACTCCATAGTATAAGTATTTAGTGGTTTTATAAATTTTAAAATATGATGCCCACTTGACATTATTTGTAAACCTAAAGTGTTGTACATTATTCTGTGCACACGCTAGGTAGCATTATAGGTTTGGCGCCGTTGCCGGAGATCAAACGGTTTTTAAAAGAATTGAATTAGACATTAGTTCTTTGTTGATTATTTACTTTTAAGTCATTTTTATTTTTATTTTCTCATTTGATTTGTCAATTAGATACTTAAAGCAAAGTGGAGCAAACGTTGGACTTAGAAGCAGTTAAAAAAAAAAAAATTGAAGTTGCTTAAGAACCATCTGTAATTTCTATTTAATTTTAGTACTTTAATTGTTTACCAATTTGTATGCTTTGGACAGCCCAAGTGGAGGCTTAAACTGAATTGTTTTATTTTTAAGTCCAAGCATACCTTTTTGTAGAAGGCATCGGCCCTTGTGGAGGTTTTTATTTGTTTTAGTGCATTGATATTTTTTAAGGAGTTTGAGAACATTATATGTGGAGGTTGAAAATTGAAGTGTTGGTGTGTTGACTTATTCTAGTGCATGCATGGTCGTAGATCACTTAGTCATCTTCTTAATTCTGTAAATCACAATCTCATCACAATGATACGTCCAAGGAATCTGGTATGGAATGCTTTCCCGAGTTATCGCACAAACTTGTGCCATGTTATGGATAATTTATAGCACAAACTGGAATAAAGAGGTAACTACATACATCAAAACCATAGAAGCTTCATAGATATATACTTTGCTGAAAGATGGACCTACAATTAGTGAATGATTTATAAAAATAAAACTTTAGTCTGATACACAATGCAGGCTTCCATTGCCGGAGACAAAATTATACAATGGGGAGAAGCTATAGATGCTACTGACAAGAACGAGTATGAATAAAACGGTCTGATGGCATAGAGTGCCATGGAACAAATGAAGAAGGATCGATCATGGGGGCGGATCCAAAGGGGCCCCCGCCCCCTCCTCCTCCTATATATAGTAGTACTAGACTACTAGTCCATCCAAATATATACTAGTACCTCCTCCAAAATATATTTCTAGGTCAGCCTCGTAAGAAAAGAATAATAATAATAATAATAATAATAATAATAATAATAATAATAGTCCATTCCAAAATATATTAACACCCACCCCCCTAAAATATATTAGTCCCTCTCCCCAAAATATACTTCCGGTCCGCCTTGTGGCAACATTTAATAACAAATTTAAACAAACTTCGCATCAACCCTTATATTCCAATTCTATAAAGTCATAATTACGCTGGATATCATAAGCATCTAGAGAAGTAAGATGTCCTACATAGTTCCCAAAGCATTAGATAGAGCGTAGAAAGGACATATAGATGATTGCACTGCCTCGTTCCACAGACAACTTATTCTTGAAACAGATCAATGTAACATGTCAAATACAGACAGATATGCAATTTCACATAGTTCGAACATTTCTATATTTATTTTTTCTGTTATTGTTACAAATTAGTTGTTAAAGAATGACTTGTCCCCGTCGCGTTTGAATGAGAATGAAAATGTAAATGAATAGATATATGAATTGAGTGTTTCTCTTATCTAATAACTTAAGTTTTGAAGTCAAATCGCGAATCACTAGGCCGTTATATTTGGTGGCCAAGCGTACGCATGCATCTCCCCATCTCCCCTTTAGTGAAAAACTAAAATGCATTACAATTAAGAATTAAAATTTAATTTTTTGAACTTTTCACCTAAATATTGTAAATATCTACACACTTACTCTTGTATAACTTTATCCAATCTACCAATTTTATCAATTCTTTAATGTTTTAGAATCATCCTCTCTGGAACACTCCATACTCTTATTATTTCAATATTTTAAAATTTTATATTATTGAAATAAAAATATATAGGATATAAGAAACTATATATATATATAATTTTTTTTTTTTCTTATATCCTATATATTATATATAGTGAATATAGTGTTTGTGTGGTCATATTTTTAATGCCAACTTTTTAAACAAAAAAAAGTGTACAATGAATTACACTCACTCTCTAAGTTTTGTCTTAATTACACACAGATGACAAAATTTGCCCTAATCAGGGGCGACCTCAGAAGATTATGTGAGAAGCGACCTTGAACAATATCATGATAAAAATATTTCAAATCGTTGAGTGAAGGCAATGCCGCAAGGGTGGAATTTTTCTATAATTCCAGTCAGGGTAGTATTAACTTTTATAGATATGTAATCCAAATATAGTTAAAAAAATAAAATACATAATACCAAAAATAAAATTTTCGTTCGGACAATTACTCCCATTGAACCTTGCATAGGTCCGTGTGTCACATGTGTGGTCCTAATTACACCGTTTTCACCTCAAGTTTGGCGTTTGTGATAAATAACCCCTACCATCAACTAACTCTTAAAACCTTTAAGAAATATTTATATAATCACTGAATTGTCGGAGGCAAAGCTAGAAATTTTAGGTTGGGAGACGGATTTGTACTATGTAATTAAAGTTTGAAAATTTTATAAATCAATTGTAATATGATTTTGTTTAAATACCAGTCATAGTATATATATACTTTGACTAAATTCAAGAATGAGTGCAAAAAATTAATATTAGAAAGGAAAATATAGAGAAAAAACAATAAGTTACAATTAAAAAAGAGAGTAGGTATAGAAATAAGCATTGTCAAAGAATTCATTTTCTTTCATCAATTATTTCAGTTTTTCAAAAATCTAATTTTTGGAAGAAAAATTTTGAGTATTTTGATTTCACTTGGGAAAGATATAGTTAGATGAAATATTAGAAAAATAATAATGAATTTTAATTAAATAAAATAATTTTAAATTAAACAAGATGTCAATGAAGATTGTTATATAATTCTAGATATTTTTTCTTGCAAATATTATTTTTCAAAAATTTTTGAAGTTAATTTTTTTTACTAAACATGAGGGAACTTTAGTGATTTTTATCCCTTTTTTTTTTCTTGAATTAATATTATAGATATTGTACATGTGTATATTTAATAAATAAATTAATAATGTGTTGTAATAACAACTATAATAATAATAATAAATTTTTTCACAATATTCGAATTGTTAAAAGTTTACTTAAAAGGGTTCAAGTTGAATTTTTTTTTTTTTTTTTTTAATTTCAAGGAGACATATACTAAATTCATTTTGGAACTCTCTATTTTGGGGCAAATTTTCAAACTCTCTATTTTGAGTCAATATGTGAGTGTTTTGAAAAAATTAAGGGGACCAATTAAAATTTTTGACAAATTTTAAGAATAATATCTATAAAATTAATTAATATATAGAAGATATTAATATAAAAAAATTCAAAAAGTTTGTGGGGGCCATGTTCCTGCTGCCCCCTAGCTCGCTTCCCCCGAATTGCCTTTTAGTTGTATAAAAAGATATTATTAGAGTAGCGGGGGCAAAGGCATTTAGGCATGTAAACACTTTTGGTATTATTTTTGAAACTATATGGAAGGTTTATGCTATTTAGACATTCATACCCTTAAATACATATAAAAAAAAAATTGTACAAATTAATCAATTCCAAATCAATTCGCTCTTAAAATTGCCTATGCTTGAATTATAGAATATTCATAATTTTCTTTAAGCAATGAATGATGAAGTACTTCCAAAAAAAAATGAACGAGGATGTATCACGTTCTTATGTAATGATTCAAGATGACTGGAATTCAAAAGAAAAGAGAACCTTCTAATTAGATTTGAGAGGTTTTCAATTGGTAAATTACATAATTTTGATGACTAACCCTACATTAATCCCATCACATATACGACGAGAAAACATTGCATATCAATGAAGGATGGGTGTAGGCACTATATTAAGAAAATTTCTACCCATGGTCTGGTCGGTGAGCTGTCCCGTCAACCACTCATTACTCAAAACTTTGGTATGTACACAAACACTATTCCAAAGGCTAGAATAAATCCACGTAGTGTTAGACAAAGATAAGCTTGCTGTGAGCAAAAAATAAATAAATAAAATAAAAATAAAAATAAAAATAAAAAAAATTTACAGTGCTAGATCTGAAGCATTTCCGAATATAATAAATTCTCAACTGAAATAAAAAAAACGAAGTTTGTGTGTGTATATATATATATCAGCCATGGGCTTAGGACGTGCATGATTGGTGAAATGTTGGGGCTATATGTATAGTATATATAATGATATATACCTCTTACATATATCAAAGCTCAAAAAGTTCAATCGCTTGCTTTGCGAACACATGGAAAATAATGAGCAGCCACTCCTGTCCACTAGTAGAGAAATTGACCACAATCTAACTTCAACCTGTTCTGCTGATGGTGGAAACGACATAGGTCCAATTAATGGAGTCCGGGACATCTTTAGAGAATTCTCTGTGGAGTCCAAGAAGCTCTGGTTGCTCGCCGCTCCGGCTATCTTCACCTCCATTTTTCAATATTCCATGGCCGCTATCACTCAAGTCTTTGTGGGCCATCTTGGAACTACTGCTCTTGCTGCCCTTTCCGTTGAAAACACTTCCATTGCTGCTTTCGGTTATGGCATCATGGTAGTATTTATATCTAACATATATATCTTCCAACATACAGGTTCATATATATATATGACATTAACAGATTTTGTATTTTACACTTTAGGCGACATATTCAAAAATTAGTCCCAATTCTAATTTCTGCAACAAATTTTATTTTGTGGCTACAAATTATTTCGTGACTAATGCCATGGATTATATGAAACAGTGGGGCTTGGGAAGTGCACTAGAGACACTTTGTGGGATAGCATTCGGAGCTGGTCATCTTGAAATGCTAGGGATATACATGCAAAGATCGTGGGTAATACTCAACACTGCAGCATTAGGACTCATGTTTCTCTATATATTCGGAACCCAATTCTTGAAACTAATCGGCCAGACTGACGAGATATCTGAGGCAGCCGGGAAATTGGCCTTGTGGATGTTTCCGCAGCTATTTGCCTATGCCATTGAAGATGCAAGAAATTCCTTCTCCACTTTCTCTCTCTAGAATTCTTACACCTCAACCCAAAAAGATCCCCCTTCATTTCATTCCATCTCCTATTTATAGATATTTACAAGATATTTACAAGATATTTACTAATTGCTGGATCTGGGCCTATTCCTTCGTAAGCCTTGGTCACCTTTGATGGGCTTACTCTCGTTCGGCCCATATGGCAGTGTCCTTCTATGGGCTGGCCCAGCTGTACGGACTGAATGCTATGTTTGCGAGTCGGATCTGGCCCATGTCATCCGGGGCCTCCTCAACTGCCCCCATAATTGCCCCTTATTAAATAAGGGGTAATTATTGATGGCGTCTCATCATGATGTTGACGGCTCGAGATAACCACGTGGGGGAGTGGACGGTCAGATCCAGCATCAATGTTCCGGGGCTCGATGGATTTCTCGCCTTCCCGACGCTTCGGCCCTCGGGCCCCCTCGCCTTTATAATGCTCTAGAATTTCACTTCACTTCCCTTTACCGTCTCCATCATCAGCCAAGTCTCTCTCTTTTCTAGAACAGTGCTAAGCTTTCCTTGGTGAAATTCTTCAAGAGTCATTCTTCCAGCGATCTTGCAGTCCTTCGAGGTTAGTTTCGTTCTTTTTACTTTCGGCAGGCTTCCATTTACCCTCTTGTAGATTCTTCTATCACTTCCACCATGGTTGTAGATCTGGATGTTCTTCGTATGAGACTTAGACTTCCTGATAACATCGAAGTTAGGGTTTGCCCCCAAGACGTTAACATTACGACCGGCGCCGGCCTCCTGCCTGGCGAAGTCTTATTCACGAACCTTCAATTGAATGTTGTTAGGTTCCCTCTGCACCCTTTCTTTAGTTATGTCTTCAATAGGTTGGGGATATCCCCTCTGCAGGTCAACCCCAACTTCTTTAGAATCATATCTGTTATGCTCTTGTTGATGCGTGACAGAAATCTGGACCTCGACCTCATAGACCTCCTTCTGTGCTATAAGGTGAGTAAGATCCGTATTAACGAGCCCTTCTACCACCTCTACCCGTTCGAGAAGATGTCCATATGTACTGACACAATAAAATCTGAAAAGGGTTGGAGGGATAGCATAGTGGGCATTAGTGGGGCTTGGTCTTCGCCGGCTGCAGAGGGTTACCCAATCCCGAGCGCCTTTGGTGTCTGCTCTGTCTCCTCCTATAAAAAATTCAAATCCCATAAACATGACTGCCCCTGTGAAACATGCGTTCCTCGTTTTTGCACTTACTTATGCCGCTCCTTGGGAATACCTTGTGATGACTTGAGCTATAGTGTTTGCAGGGATAGGAGTAACTACTTGAAGAGATACGTTCTGAACGATATTCCTTCCTGCTCAGATCTCCTCACTTCAGACAACCTCTTTGCGCTCTCATCACTCGGCTACAACATGAGCAGACTTCAGATTCCCTCTTTTGGCAGGAGGAAAAATACTCCCCCAGCCACTCCTGCTGCTGGGGCGACCTCCTCTCCAGCGTCAGCTTCTTCTTCAGCCACCATATCTGACACTGTCCCGAGCGCAGTGGCGACTAACCCTGTTGCCAGCGCCCCTGCTGCCAACCAGAACGCGCCCTCCCCAGCTACCATAGCTCCTGCTGCTACGGGGGGCGGTCGGGACAAAGAACGAGGCAAAAGGCCTCATCCTGACAGTGAAATCGATCCTGAGGAGGAGCCTCTCATTAGAAGGACCCGGGTCTCTGGGCCGGGTACTCTCTTGCACCGAGCGATCAGAGCTCCTTCTCCCTCTGGGCCTTCTGCAGCTGGTGGCTCTGCTTCTGCTTCAGGCCCCCCTTCTATCCCCAGCTTACCGCCATGGGCCCCTCGGTACACCCGAACGGATGGGACGTTCGTGAAACCGAACGAGACCATGCTGAAGAATGGCCAGACCGCTATGGCCTACTACAGGAGCATGTGGACTCCGAAGGACCTTGAGGCGGCAAAGGGCCTTTCCCAGAAGGACGTGTTCAGTCGCTTTCCCCAATCTGCTATGGAGGTGACTTTTATTTTATAACTCATGAATTCTCTTATATTACTTGGTTTTGCCTTCGCCCGTTCTGACTATTGGTTTAACCGTTTTTATTGTGCACCTATGCAGACATTGTTCGGGATGATGGCCATGCAGAAGCAGGTGAAGATGGGGAACGCCAGGGCCCGAAAGTATTCTGACAGCCTGGAGGTGGCTAATAAAGAAAACGACCTCCTTGCCATGAAGAATACCGAGGTGCTGGTTCGGCTTGACAAAGCCGAGCAAGAGAGAGATGTCCTGAAGAAGGAGAATGATTCCCTTCAGGATGAGAAGGACGCCCTCCAGCTTGAGAAGAGCGTCTGGCAGACTGAGCGGGAATCAATTAGAGAAGAAAAGGCAGAACTCCAGCGCCTTCTAGCTGATGAACAGTCTGCTCGGATGGCTTTTGAAAAAAGAGCTCTGGACGAGCGTACCGCTCTGATCGACGCGATCAGCAGAGTGGGTGGTGGGATGCTGGCCCTTCACGCTCGGTTCTCCAGGGTCGGTGCTCTTCGGTATGCTCAAGGATTCCGGGAAGGTTTCGCCGACCGGGTTCCGGATGAGGGACAGACCAGCTCCACTCCGGATGAGGTAGACAAGGATCTGGGGATCGAGCCTCTGGGGGTCTATGTCGACCCAGAACCCACCGAAGCGGAACGTATATTTGATGAGTGCCAGGACATCGCATCCTCAAGGATCATCACAGCTCCTCCTACCGCTCTGCCACTGACCGCTCCCCAATCGTCAACCGTGGCTCCTTCTATAGCCACTGCTGACGCTGAACCCCAGCCGAACGATTCAGTCATTCACCTGGATTCCCCACCTCATGAAGGTGAGGCGGCTGATGGGGCCGAGGAGGCGAGTCGGCAAGACCAGGATGCTGTTGGTACTGAGGCGTCTAGCTAGGGCTCCTTCGAATTCTTCTAGTTCATATCTTCTTGTAATGATGGACATCTCTCTTTTGTAAACTCAATGTTCAATATTAATGAAATGACAGAACTCTTTTTCCCTATGTGTTGTGCTCTATTCAACTTATCTTCAGTACATACATATCTTTTCTCTCTTTTTCTTTTTATATTAGCTTCGCCGCGTGTTTGTTTACGGCAAGTGCCTGGCGCTCGGCTAGAATGCCACTTGCCACTTGGCTTTAAATTTTTAGCAAGTGTCTGGCGTTTCGGCTTAGAGTGCCAGCTGCCACTTATCTTGCTTAAGTGCCTGGCGCTCGGCTAGAATGCCACTTGCCACTTGGCTTTAAATTTTTAACAAGTGTCTGGCGTTCGGCTTATAGTGCCAGCTGCCACTTATCTTGCTTAAGTGCCTGGCGCTCGGCTAGAATGCCACTTGCCACTTGGCTTTAAATTTTTAGCAAGTGTCTGGCGTTCGGCTTATAGTGCCAGCTGCCACTTATCTTGCTTAAGTGCCTGGCGCTCGGCTAGAATGCCACTTGCCACTTGGCTTTAAATTTTTAGCAAGTGTCTGGCGTTCGGCTTATAGTGCCAGCTGCCACTTATCTTGCTTAAGTGCCTGGCGCTCGGCTAGAATGCCACTTGCCACTTGGCTTTAAATTTTTAGCAAGTGTCTGGCGTTCGGCTTATAGTGCCAGCTGCCACTTATCTTGCTTAAGTGCCTGGCGCTCGGCTAGAATGCCACTTGCCACTTGGCTTTAAATTTTTAGCAAGTGTCTGGCGTTCGGCTTATAGTGCCAGCTGCCACTTATCTTGCTTAAGTGCCTGGCGCTCGGCTAGAATGCCACTTGCCACTTGGCTTTAAATTTTTATAGTAGACCGTTGGAAAAGAAAATTCTTTTTTTGTAAATTCCAGTAACTTGCTCATTCATACGTATTTGATTGACAACAAATAACATCCAATTAAAGCCAGAACTTAGCTTCTATTGGTAGTACCTCTTCAGAGACGTGGCGTTCCAGGGCTTGCTGACCAACCTTCCCGCCATGGTTTCCAACGTATATGCCCCCTTGCCAATGACTTCCGCAATTCTGTATGGGCCTTCCCAGGGTGGCATCATTTTTTTGACCATCCCCACCTTTCTTTTCAGAACCAGATCGCCAGGGGCAAAATCTCTGTGTTTTACTCTCTTGTTGTGACTATTCGCCAGCACTTGCTGATACGATGCTAGCCTTATAGCCGCTGCGTCTCTCCTTTCGTCTATCATGTCGAGGTTCAATCTTAACATCTTGTCGTTCTGATCCCGACTCCATGCTAAGCTTCTGATAGTGGGGACTAAATGCTCAACCGGTATAACTGCTTCGGTACCATACGCCATTGTGAACGGGCTCTCCCCAGTCGGCCGCCTTGGGGTGGTTCTGTAAGCCCATAGAACGTTCGGGAGTTCATCCAACCACTTCCCCTTATGATCTTCCAGCTTCTTCTTAATGCAGGCGAAAATGGTTCTGTTTGTGATTTCTGCTTGTCCGTTGGCCTGAGGATGACTTACTGCAGCCAACTTCTGGTTGATTCCATACTCCTCTAGCAGCTTTCTTACTTGCCTGCTGTCGAGGTTTGTGCCATTGTCCATGACTATTGTTCTGGGAACACCGAAGCGGCAGATAATGTTGTTCCAGATAAATCGTCTCACCTGAGTCTGAGTCACGCTAGGATACGGTTCTGCCTCCACCCATTTAGTGAAATAATCCGTGGCCAGTAACACATACTTGTTCTGAGCTCTTGCAGTTGGCAGAGGACCGACCACATCCATCCCCCATTGCGCGAAAGGCCACGGCGAGGCCATTACGTGCAATTCCTCAGGTGGTTGGTGGATCATTGGTCCATATCGTTGGCACTTATCGCACCTTCGAGAGAACTCCTCCGCATCTCTTGACATGTTTGGCCAGAAATACCCTTGTGTCATTGCTTTATGCGCTAACGATCTTCCCCCAGAATGATTGCCACACACACCCTCATGAATAGCTCGCAATACCTGCTGCGACTCCGCGGGGGTGACACATTTCAAGTACGGGCCAGAATAGGACCTTCTGTACAGCTGGTTCCGCACGATGGCGTACTTGGCAGCATTCTTTTTGAGTTTCCTAGCTTCATCCCTTTGCATAGGCAAAACGCCATCTCGAATATAGGTAATGATTGGGTCAATCCAACTCGGTTTATACTTGCCAAAGGTCCGAGTCCATCGGTTCTTCGAAAATGGACGGCTGGGTCACTATTCCTACTGGAATCACCCTCGCCAATGTTTCACCGCAACTCGAAGCACTGCATGCTAAACGGTCTGCATCTGCATTCTGTTCCCTCGGCAACTGTATGAATTCAATCTTTGCAAAGTCCTTGGCTCTACGCAGAACGGCAGAACGATATGCCCCCATCATGTCATCCTTGGTTGCGTACTCACCATTTACCTGCCGAACAATCAGCTGCGAGTCACTGTACACTGTCAAACTTTTGATCTGTAGCTCTCTGGCCAACTTTAATCCATTTAGCAACGCCTCGTATTCCGCTTCATTATTGGTGGCTCGGAACTCAAGTCTGAGTGCTTGGCTCAAGGAAGTACCCTCTGGGGTTTGCAGTTTGATCCCAATCCCAGCCCCCATCTGGTTAGAGGAGCCATCCACAAAAAGTTTCCAAGAGCCGCTTCTAAGGTCCTCTTCCGTATCTTCGGCATCACATTCTAGTAGGAAATCGGCCACCGCTTGCCCTTTAACAGCTGTTCTCGGCTCGTACGTTATGTCAAATGAACTCAACTCTATGGCCCACTTTGTCATTCTGCCCGAGAGCTCTGGCTTGTGCATGAGCGTTCTGATTGGGAAAGTTGTTAGAACAGCTATGGGGTGGGATTCGAAATAATGCCTCAACTTTCTTTTTGCATTTACAAGTGCAAGTACCACCCGTTCGGCCTTTGAGTATCTTTTTTCTGCCTCCATCAGTGTTTTGCTTACATAAAATACCGGGTATTGCACCCCTTCCTTGCAACGAATCAGAACGGCACTCGTCGCGGCACCAGATACTCCAAGATATAGAAATAACTTTTCTTCCGGTTCTGGGGCTGACAGGACTGGTGGATTCTGCATATATTGCTTCAAATGAGTCAATGCCTGTCGTTGTTCATCCCCCCAGACCTGCCTTCCATGGCTCCGAATCGTGTCAAAGAATGGTTTGCAGTGGTCTGACAATTTTGAAATAAATCGACTTAATGCAGCTATTCGTCCTGTTAGGGCTTGCACCTCTCTGATCGTCTTTGGCTCGGCATTCTTAATCAAAGCCTCTGCTTGAGCGGGGCTAACTTCGATGCCCCTGCGGTTGACCACGTGTCCCAGAAACTGCCCGGAACTCACACCGAACGAGCACTTGGTCGGATTGAGCCTCATCCCATATCGCTTTAGTACATCAAATACCTCTTGCAGATGCTTCAGATGATCATCCTTTTTCCTACTCTTTACCACCATATCATCAATATAGGCTTCGACAGTCTTACCCATTTGATTCTTAAAAACTTTGCTAACAAGTCGTTGATAAGTTGCTCCCGCATTCTTTAGTCCAAAAGGCATAACTTTGTAGCAGTATGTTCCTCGCTCGGTGACAAAAGAAGTTTTTTCTTCATCTGCGGGGTCCATAGGAATCTGATTATAACCTGAATATGCGTCCAGAAAGGTTAAACGCTCATACCCAGTGGTGGCATCCACCATTTGATCAATCTTAGGCAACGGGAAGCTGTCCTTCGGACAGGCTTTGTTCAAATTGGTGAAATCAATGCATACTCGCCATTTCCCATTTTTCTTCTGCACCACAACGACGTTGGACAACCACTCAGGGTAGTGCACCTCTCTGATAAATCCCGCATCAAGCAGTCTACCGACTTCTTCCGCTATGATCTGATTACGTTCTGGAGCAAATCTTCGCTGCTTCTGTTTCACTGGTTTGAAATTAGGATTGACATTCAGGGAATGACAGGATACGGAAGGACTAATTCCAGGCATGTCTAGGTGACTCCATGCAAATACGTCGACATTGTGGGACAAGAAATCCACTAGCTCTTGCTGCTCTTCTCTGGTCAGTCTTATACCTACTCTGGTAGTTCGTTCTGGCCTGGACTGATCGATCTGCACATCCAGAAGGGACTCCTCGGTCAAGTCGGCTGACTCCTCCACCCTATTCTGCTCGAGTGGAGGTTCCTGTAATTGCTATCTGGGGCTTGTCGAACGGACGGGCGCCTTTCCTTTCCCAGCATGCTTTAGTGTGACGGAATAACACTCTTTGGCTGCGACCTGATCCCCCCGAATGTCTATTACTTTATCTCCATCGGGCCCGAGGCACCTCATGACCTGATGCAGAGTTGAGGGTACACCTCGGACTCTGTGAATCCATCCTCTTCCCATCAGGAGATTATACGAGGGGTGAATTTCCACAACCACAAAAGTTTCCATAAGAGCTCGTTCTGCAGCTTGAACTTCTACTTCCACCATCCCGACGGGTTCCACCCTCTTCCCATCGAACCCTAATAAGGGATTTCCGGTGGGCTTGAGCCTCTCTGGTTTAATGTCGAGCCTGTCAAATGTGTCCCTCGGCATAACATTCGCACTGCTCCCAGGATCGATCAGAACTCTGCGCACCAAGCAATCTGCCACTGTCAAACTGACTACCAACGGGTCGTCATGAGGCAGTTGAACACGCTGCAGGTCTGTCCAGTCGAACTTTATCTGCATTGACGGGCTCTGCTGGTGTAGAGTGGTCACATTGCCGACCCTTTTCTTCATCTGCGCCTGCCGCAGGCGCACCCGTAGCAGCTCATCTGACTCTTCACTAGGCTCGGGTCGACCATGGATAGCATTGATTATACGAACTGGTTGCGAATTGTGGGAGCTTTGTTTATGACTCCTTTTTATTTGTTCCACTGGTCGATTCTGCTCCATCGCCGAGCCTTGAACATAACTCGCAAACTCCCCTCTAGCTATCAACATCTCCACTTGCCTCCTCAGGTTCCTGCATTCGTTAGTCTGATGTCCGAAATCAGAATGAAAAGCACGATGTTTAGTTTGATCCCTCTGTTCGAGGGGTTGTCTAATTGGCAGTGGTGGATGAAACTTGTCCTTGTTCTCCTGATACAGCCTCGCCAGAGTGACCTTCAGCGGAGTAATCAACTCTTCCTCCCTAGACCTTTTTTCGGCCTTCCAAGTGGTCTGACGTTGCGGCTGAGCCTGCTTCTGCCTGATCTTTGCCTTGGACTTTTCCTCGGTCGACACAAGCGACGTTGTCCGAGCATTAGCTGCCTCCTCTTCTTCGAGGCGCACAAAGCCATCGGCTCTCTCATTGAGTTCATCCATGGTAGCCGGCGTATTCCCTACCAGACTGGTGTGAAACGGAGTTCCGCGTGTCATGGCTAACTTGAAGGCTTGAACTGCCGTAGAAGGGTGGCATTCGATCACCATACTCTTAGTGAGATTAAACCTGGTAAGAAAGGCCTGGAGACGTTCATCCTTGTGCTGCCGCATCGTGAACAGGCTCGAGATGTCCTTCGGCGGGCGTTTGTTCCCATAGTACTGACTTATGAACCGATCGCACAGGTCCCTGAAACTGCCAATGGAGCTCCTAGGCAAGTTTTTGAACCAGCTGAGCGCCGGTCCGGCCAGGCTTGTAGGGAAACATTTGCACATTAAAGAGTCGTTTTCCGTATTCAGGGCCATTTTCAACTGGATATGATACACATGATCGATCGGATCGGTCGTTCCGTCAAACAGAATAAAGACTGGCATAGCAAACTTCCTTGGATGCGGCGCATTCAAGATCTCGTCGGTGAATGGTGAATCCACCGTCCGAGCTGCGGATCGGAGAGCTTCATTCTCTCTCTGGAGTCCAGCGGTAGCTCTGTGAGTTACGGTTCTGCCCTCCGAACCGTGATGAGTGACAGTAACCATGGAGGGCCGGTAAGACGGATCGAACGACCGTTCCTCTATGAACTCTCTTTGCCAAGGCGACGCTACTCGACGGCGATCAACCTCCATCACTTCCTCTCGGTCAAACCTTTCCCGCTGCGGATCAGCGTGAGTCGATCCTTCGTGATCTTCAACTCGACGAACATTTGGCGGCAAATTGTCCATCATCCTTTCATCACGGTGGTGAGCTGACTGATTGTTCTCGTTCTGATCGCCTTGATGCGCGATATTGGATTGAACACCTCCTTCTCCGACCGGAGGTGGATGCGAAACCGCAGGTATTTGCCGATGTTGCAGTCCAGCTTTCAATTCTGCATTTTCTTTTCTGAGAGCTTCAATCAAGTTCATCAACTCTTCAAGCTTTGTTTGCTGGACAGCTTCCATCGGATTGGAGCTTTCACCTATCATTATTCCCGAACGGAGTAAAGGCATTAATCTCAAGCTCGCGAGTAGATCTGAGCTTCGTGAGTAGGAATTTTTTAGATCTGGCTTCTAATCCTCCGAATTATGCTCACTGTTTACGAGATCTGAATTGTCTGAACTCTAAATCCGTCAGATCCTGCCACAATCAAACAACTCGTAGATCTGAAGTCACTCCAAAGCTTCAAGAATTGTAATTCCTCCAGAGCAGGTCACAATCGCTCAGCTCTGGATTCAAATCCCAAAGATCGAGTCTCGATCAACCGAATTGGTTTGAATCCATTCGATACTCCTCATTGATCAACCAAACTTCCATGCGTTTCCCACAGACGGCGCCAATTGAAGATGCAAGAAATTCCTTCTCCACTTTCTCTCTCTAGAATTCTTACACCTCAACCCAAAAAGATCCCCCTTCATTTCATTCCATCTCCTATTTATAGATATTTACAAGATATTTACAAGATATTTACAAGATATTTACTAATTGCTAGATCTGGGCCTATTCCTTCGTAAGCCTTGGTCACCTTTGATGGGCTTACTCTCGTTCGGCCCATATGGCAGTGTCCTTCTATGGGCTGGCCCAGCTGTACGGACTGAATGCTATGTTTGCGAGTCGGATCTGGCCCATGTCATCCGGGGCCTCCTCAGCCATGAATTTTCCACTAGCTAAGTTTCTGCAGGCACAGAGGAAGTTCATGGCCATGGCGGTGATCTCGGGGGTGGCACTGGCTCTGCATAGTTTGTTTAGCTGGTTGTTGATGCTGAAGCTGGGGTGGGGACTGGCGGGTGCAGCGGTTGTGCTGAACGCGTCATGGTGGTTCATTGTGGTGGCTCAGTTTGTGTATGTTGTGAGTGGGACTTGTGGTCGAGCTTGGACTGGCTTCTCCTTGGAGGCCTTTCAGAATCTCTGGGGGTTCGTTAGGCTATCTCTCGCGTCAGCAGTTATGATCTGGTAAGTTTCTTGATTGAATTCATCCCAATTGTGGGCCATCATGTTAAATTTTAATACACGTGATCATTATTTGACCTTGGGATTCCCAACCACCAGAAGACAGAGGACTGCATAATGTCATGCAAATTGTTGGGATGAAAAAAAAAAAAAAAAAAAAGGGAGGAGGATATTACTTTATGTGATAATGTTACTTTTTAGGATATATTATTTTTAGTGTTATGTGTTGTTATTTATAAATGGTGGTGGTATTATTTTTTAAACTATGTGATATTATTTTTAGACTTCTGTGATATTATTTAAAAATGATGATAAAATGTTACTTATAAATAGTGATGTAATTATTAAACACAGTGTTAGTATTTATTAAGTAATGTAAAACGTGACTAAATCACGAATATATATCCCACCATCTTGCATTATTAGTGTAAAAGTTTCAGCCGAAAGTCTTCTCCTAAGTAGCCACCGTCCGTGGGTCAAATGACTGAATCACGTGTGAGCTTACCACGTCCCTCAAACAATTTTATGGTTTGACTCATTGGTATCATGAACATACACTTAAACAATTTATGATTTGACCTAAAAACTGATCAAAAAGAACTCGGGAAAAAAATTATTTATGATTTGACTCATTAGTATCACCAACATGTTTTTGTTAGTTAATATATACATGTAACATGTTAAGTCTGGGTGGCAAAATGATTTTTTTATAGACTTGTTTGGATTTATAATTAATTATATCCAAGTCATTATTATTAATTATAAGTTTTCTGCAGCTTAGACACGTGGTATTTTGCGATCCCAGTTCTCGTGGCCGGATATTTAAAGAATGAAGAGGTTTCAGTGGATGCCTCATCTATATGGTAAGTTTTTCCATTCACACTCAAATTTTGTTTTTTTATTTCTTCTATTATGTATGTTTGTGGGCTTAGAATGATGGCAAGTTTGACTAATAACATTCAATAATTAGTCACATGGTGCCCCTAAGAAAAGAACCCAAAAAAAAAAAACAAGCATAATTGAGAGCCATGGAAATGAGAAATACGCTGACAGCTTCCATAAATAATAATGAAACAAAAAATAAATACAATTGTGGAAAGATTATCATCACACAATTTGGAGTTGGGTAACACATGAGTCCTGATTTTCTCGGTCATTAGTTAGGCCAGAATATATGAGGCTCTGTTTGGTTTGTAATTCAGAAAATAATTTTATTTTTTAAAAAAATTAAAAATAGATAATTGTACAAAAAAAACTCTAATTGGTTCAATTTTATGAAAACTATTTTCTGAAAACTCAGTTATAAAAAGGCTTGTTTTTAAAAAACTGTCTTTTATCTGAATTCTTAAAAAACTGTTTTCAGAGTTACAAATCAAGCAAGTTTTCATTTTCCTAATTACCAAATAAGTATAACTAGTCACCTGAATATTATTTTTCAAAACACTAAACTGCAAAAATTTTAAGCTTTATTTGTTTGGATGTAAAATATATATATATATTTTTTTGGTGTTTGGTTATCGTAAAATATTTACGAAAAAAAATATTAAAAGCTAACAAAAATAGATTACCCATAAATTTTCAACAAGTTATTTTACATATCCCGTCTAATAGACTCAACTTCAACATCGATCTAGACTTTTGTTAAATATTGAAAAATAAAAATAAAAATAAAAAATATATTTTTTCTGAAAAAAGAACATTTTTTTTAAAAAATATATTTTACGTCAAAACAAATGACGCATGTACAAAATATTTTTTAAATTCTTGAGAGCGAACAAAATGAATTGAATTAAAGGTTAGGCATGGAACAGAAGTTCTAGCACTACTGGGTCAGTTGGTTTTTTTTTCTTTTTCTTTTTTTTTTTTATTTTTTTGAGGCAATAAATTGTGTGAAAGTTACCAAAAAAAAAAAAACACATATAACAAACATTTGGGTATAAAATATTTTTTAATCCCAGAATGAATGTTCTTTTTTAAGTATCTAACTTTTTAAGAGGATATATTTTAGTATTTTTTTATTGCATAATGGTTGATTTAGTTCAATGTAAGATGGTTAAATTAATACTTTAACATTTCAATTGTGATATTTACTTTGGGAAACCAAAAAATTATTTATTTTGGGACATTGAAGTATTCCCCCATAACAAATTTACAATCCATTAATGGTATGCATAATTTTACATCACACTGTTTGTAGCAGAGGAGTGACATTCATGCATAGCCTACTACAACATCCAGTGTCATTAATTGGTTTTTGGTGTTTATTGTTGTTAATATTGTTGAATTTGCAGCAACAACATACTGGGCTGGACAACGATGGCAGCTTATGGATTCAATGCAGCCATAAGGTGTGAAGCTGACACACTCCATGAGACTAAGGTTTTTCTAATTTACTAACAAAAGATTAAGATAAAATCAAAACAAAAGTATAAATAAATATATTTTTTGAATTTAGTAAAGTAAAAAAGGATTAGAAAAAAGTATGAAAATTTTGCTTACTTGTGTGTTGAATAAATGGGCAGCGTAAGGGTGTCAAATGAACTGGGTGCAGCTCGTCCGAAAACTGCAAAATTTACGGCAGCTGTAGTCGGAATAACTTCATCGTTAATCGGTATCTCTTTTGCAGTCATTCTAATAATCACCCGAAAACAGTATCCAGCCTTATTTTCAACCAATACAGAGGTCAAACAGCTTGTATATGAGCTCACGCCAGTGCTAGGAGCATGCATTGCCTTCAACAGTGTTCAGCTTTCTCTATGTGGTATCAATTTATTTTAAATCTTTCCTTGCTTTGTGCTTCTTATATAGCTCTATTCTTTCTTTCTTTTTCTTTTTCTTTAAAAAATTCACGGAATTTATTGATATACAATATGAATTAATATATAGTTTTGGAGGATTTAGTAAAATTAACCCAAAATTAACATACTGAACATGAGTTTATGGTACTGCGTTAGGGGTGGCCATTGGAGCAGGGTGGCAAGCTTTTGTTGCATATGTGTATATTGGTTGTTACTATATAATTGGTGTTCCTTCGAGTCTCCTACTGGGTTTCGCTCTTAACATGGGTGTCCAGGTAATCCACTCTTCGTCTTTATTTATATTATATAGTAGTATGCAATTTTACATTTTACCAAGGACCATTGTCTTGAATATATGCAAAATTTGGAAAAGCTTCAAATTTCAAATTAGAAATCTTAATTTAAAATTAAATGGGACAAAATCTTGCCACATTAATACTTTCAGGGGATCTGGAATGGAATGCTCTTTGGATTTATCGTACAAACATGTGCTATGTTATGGCTTATTTATAGCACAAACTGGAATAAAGAGGTAACTACATACATCAACTTTCCTAATATCATCTATATTTTAGTGAATGATTTCTGTAAGATTGATCTTAATTTGATACACAATGCAGGCTTCGATCGCCGGAGACAAAATTATAAAATGGGGAGGAGAAATAGATGCTAACAGGGACGAGAATGAACCAAATAGTATCACGGCATAAAGCCACCATGAAACAAGTGACAATTCATGGCACATTCAACAACATGCTCAGGATGGCAATATTTCATCAATTTTGACAATTGCATAAATGCAGTTTGGGGTGGAGTCTTAGCAGAAGAATAAAGATGATAAATTCAAATATTTTATCGTTCAAACAAAACAATAATATTTACTTCTCCTTCCTAGACGGCCTCCCACTTTTTTTTTTCTTTCCGTTTGTTTCGAAGGAAAATATTTTTATCTTGTAATGAGGTAGCTCATGCTTGAGCAGATGGGCTGCCCAGAATCGAAAAAAGAGAGAGTGGGATGTATGGTCACAATGGTTGTTGAATTCTCTTAATGACATTTGTAATGTTTATGAATTTTTACTTGAATTTTTGTTGTTACTCGGAATTAACATGATTATGGCTTTTGGAGTTTCAAACAAGTAAAGTAACCCCCTCAAAGAATTGTTTGTGCCGAACTCAATATCGTGATCTTGTGACCTGTTAAAGTGGTTGATTGTGGTAACTGGGCTCCTGTGCAGGTGGTTGTGGTTGTGGTTGTGGTAATTGGTGAATCCAGTACAGTAAAAGTTGGTGTTAGTGTCTAGAATGTCGGAAATTTCAATTGTACCATGTTCAAATTTAAATGTAGCAAAACATAGTACAATTAATCCTTTCAAAATCAGGTCTCATAAAATTGCCTATGCTGAAATCTTAGCATGTTCATTATGTTCTTATGTAATGATGCTATATGACTAGAATTGAAAAGAAACCAGAACCTTCTAATTATGTTTGAGAGGTTTTCAATGGGTAAGTTACCTAGTTTTGAATTAGGCTTTGTTGCTTTTAAGCCCAACATAAAAGTAATCCACGTGAAGGTATGGTTGCCAACCAAAAATACGGTGTTACAAGCTACGAGCATGCCGAAATATGACAAATGCTTAATGACTTAGTGCGTGTGTGTGTGTATATATATATAAAGAGAGAGAGAGAGAGAGAGAGAGAGAGAGAGAGAGAAGCCACTGCTTAGGACGTGCATGTTAATTTGGTGAAATGTTGGGGCTATAAAATCCTTTACCCTTTATATATTTCTGTGATATATAGATCAAAGCTAACAAGTTCAATCCCTAGCTTGCGAACATATAGTATAAATGGAAAATAATGAGCAGCCACTTCTGTCCACTATTAGAGAAAATGACCACGGTCTAACTTCATCCTCTTCTTCTTATGATGTAAACGACATAGGTCCAATTAATGGAGTCCGGGACATCTTTAGAGAATTCGCTGTTGAGTCAAAGAAGCTCTGGTGGCTGGCCGCTCCGGCTATCTTGACCTCCCTTTTTCAATATTCCATGGCCGCTATCACTCAAGTCTTCGCAGGCCATCTCGGAACTATTGATCTTGCTGCCCTTTCCGTTGAAAACTCTGTCATTGCTGCATTCGGTTATGGTATCATGGTATATTACATCTAACATATCTTCCGAAATATGTATAGAAAATTAACAGATTTCATATATATGAAACTACAAATTTAGTTTTGTGGCTAAAAGTATCTTGAGTAAGGCCACTATTATTTTGTATGTGAGTATATATATTCATTTTGTATTGAAATGAATGCATGAAATTAATTAGTCCTATGAAACAGTGGGGGTTGGGGAGTGCACTAGAGAGCCTTTGTGGAATAGCTTTCGGAGCTGGTCAGATTGAAATGCTTGGGACATACATGCAAAGATCATGGGTTATTCTCAACACTGCAGCATTAGGACTCATGTTTCTCTATATATTCGCAACCCAATTCTTGAAACTAATGGGGCAGACTGCAGCGATATCTGAGGCGGCGGGGACATTCGCCTTGTGGATGATTCCGCAGCTATTTGCTTATGCCATGAACTTTCCACTAATGAAGTTTCTCCAAGCACAGAGGAAGTTCATAGCCATGGCGGTGATCTCGGGGGTAGCGCTGGCTCTGCATACTATCTTTAGCTGGTTGTTGATGCTGAAGCTGGGTTGGGGACTGGTAGGTGCAGCGGTTGTGCTGAACTCGTCGTGGTGGTTCATTGTGGTGGCTCAGCTTGTCTATGCTTTGAATGGGGCATGTGGTGGAGCATGGACAGGCTTCTCATTGGAGGCCTTTCAAAATCTATGGGGGTTTGTTAGGTTATCTCTCGCATCAGCTGTCATGCTCTGGTGAGTTAGTTTATTGTGGATGTCAGTTGTCGCCCATTATTTTCAATTTTAAATTTGAATATACCAAACACTATAGCACATCATCATCCGTCATTCTCTGCCAAAAAAAAATCTAATTTTATTGTCTTTTTTGAATGTAGGATACGAGTCTACCACATTCTTCTTTCAGTGACTCCTTTTTTTACTCAATAGTAGATTACAAATTGCGCAAGAGTTCACTTTCAGTGACTCCTTTTTTTTTTTTTTGGATTTCAAATTTACTACTACTATTACAAGTTTTCTGCAGTTTAGATATGTGGTATTTTGCGATTCCAGTTCTCTTGGCTGGATATTTAACGAATGAAGAGGATTCAGTGGATGCCTCTTCTATATGGTGAGTTTTTCCATTTACCTTGTTTTCAATTTCTTCTACTTTTGATGTTTTTTTTTTTTTTATGTGTGCTTAGAAAATCATGGCAACATACTGGAACACTTTATATTTGTTGCGGTTGTTTTATGTAATATTGTTGAGTTTTCAGCACCAACATACTGGGCTGGACAACGATGGCAGCTTATGGATTCAGTGCAGCCATAAGGTTTGAAGCAACAACACTCCATCAGACCAAGGTTTTCTAATAGTAAACTAACAAAAGATACAACAGAAAATCAAAACAAAAATAGATTTCTTATTTTATTTTTGAATTCAATAAGGAAAAAGAAAAAAAAAAAAAAAAAAAAGGTAGAAATTTTTGCTCACTTGTATGTTGTTGAATAAATGTGCAGTGTAAGGGTGTCAAATGAACTCGGTGCAACTCACCCGAAGACTGCAAAATTTACAGTAACCGTAGTCGGAATAACTTCCTTCTTAATCGGTATCTTCCTTGCAGCCATTCTGATCATCACAAGAAAACAGTACCCAGCCTTATTTTCGACCAGTGTAGAGGTCAAACAACTCTTATATGAGCTTACGCCAGTACTAGGAGCATGCATTGCCATTGCCAGTGTTCAGCTCTCTCTCTCTGGTATCAATTGAATGTTAAATCTTTCCTTGTTTTGTGCTTAATTTCATGGTTTATTCATTTTAGGGTTTAAGTGCAAATAATTTATAGTTTACGGCACTGCGTTAGGGGTGGCCATTGGAGCAGGGTGGCAAGCTCTTGTTGCATGTGTGTACATTGGTTGCTACTATATAGTTGGTGTTCCTTTGAGTCTCCTTATGGGTTTCGCTCTTAACATGGGTGTCCAGGTAATTCACTCTTCATCTTCATTTATGTTATATAGTAGTATGCAATTTTGAATTCTACCAAGGAACATTGTCTTGAATAATATATACAAAATTTGGGAAAAGAAGTTAGCTTCAAATTTCAAATTAAAACACTTTATTTTAAATATATTGGGACAAAATCTTGGGACATTAATGTTTTTAGGGGATCTGGTGTGGACTTCTCTTCGGAATGATCGCACAAACGTGTGCTATGTTGTGGATTATGTATAGCACAAACTGGAATAAAGAGGTAACTACCTGCATCAACTTCTTTAATAATATAGTTTGTGCAAGTTAGTGAATGATTTAATATAAGTAAGATTTTAATTTGATACACAATGCAGGCTTCGATTGCCGGAGACAAAATTATAAAATGGGGAGGAAAAATAGATGCTGACAAGAACGAGAATGAACCAAATAGTCTGACCGCGTAAAGGACATGGAACAAGTGAAGATTCTTGGCAACATTCAATAACAAGCTCATGATAAACAATTGCAAAAATGGAGTTAAATCCTTCAAAAAAAAATAATAAAAAAAAAAAAAAAAAATTTTTGATTCGCTTTCTTCTTAGAGGGTCCCCACGGTAGGTTTTTTTTTTTTCCCTATAAATGTGTATGTATATTCAAATATGTGATCCAACGATACAATAGTGTTTGATTTTCCTTCTTCAACAGGACTATGTCTCTTTGTTTCTTAAATTTTTCTTTTTCTGTTTGCTTCTTCACTTCTGTAAATTATCTGAAGCAGGAAAACACCGTCCATCAATGACAGAATTTTGAAATGTTTTTTGCGTATATAACTCGAAAAGATTTTTTTTTTTTTACAACATGTATACTGTCCCACAATATACGCACGTCAAGAGTAGATGATTGGACTTGTCATGATCCAGACTTAGAAGAGTTAGAAATTTCTGTTTAAAGATGAATTTGCAAGGTAGATTAATAATGCATATAAAGTACTTTGATGATCCTAGGCTTGTAAGTTTTGCATATTATAATGGTTAGCAAAAGTAACACAGTCACGGTCCTAAATCATTTAAAAATAGTCCGAGATTTCTTATATTGATTGGTGTTAACAAGATAAATAGCCGCCTCTACAAGGTATTCTTTTTGAAATTGCTACAACTTTGAAAAAATTATCACATGATTTAATCCACGTATCATTGTTTGTTTGTGTGTATGAGACGGCACCAATTATGTGGACCATATAATAATAATATGTGTACAATTTTCTGTCTTTAGAAAAGGACAGTATATTCCGTTTAAGGGCCTTTCATCGGTCAACCTCCTTTTCTGGGTAGATGCCAAAACAAAAGAAAAGTGGGTACCACTCTCCCAATCACTGTTGAAATGTGGCGCAATACCATTGGCCTCACAAATTTGTATATTACTGTCATATAAAATAAAATTCTGAACATCAATTATATGGTTAGCCACTGATCAGTCTTCAGTCCAGTGTTCCTCTTTCTTTCCTCATCCTAATCCAAACACAAAATATCCAGTACTTTTACCTTGTGAATATTTTCATATTTTCAATAGATTAAGATTCCACTGTGATATGTTCGGCGTATGAAATTTTAAATAAAAAAAAATTATAAATAATTGAAATAATTTTTTTTTTCTAATGTTATCAGTTTCAATTTCGAAACTTGCCAAACATAGTCTAAGTTTTATTTGATTACACAAAATCAGGTTCATCCATCAATGTATGATATTAGATAGGTTCACATGTAATTTTTCTGGTTGGCACTGGTGTTCTCACACACTTTCCAGAAACCCCAAAAGACGACGTAGAACTTCCCTACAGCCCAAGTTGAAGAGTTGAGTGTGAAATGGGTCGGCCCACTCATTTTGTCTACTATAAACATTCAACAAGTCACTTGCCACAACTGAAAGAGAAAAAAATTTGTAATTTTCATCATAAGTATCAGTTATTATAATTCAATAAAAAATCCATTATTAGATTCCTTTCATTTTTAATACTGCCAATCTTTCCTTGTTTTTAAATGTGGCGTGCAAATAAAATTTGCAATCAGAAATTCACATAAAGTTGCATGATACTTTTTAGGAGATTTTTTTTTACATTTATCATTAAATATTATTTCTATGATATGACTCTACTTTTTAAAGTAGAGGTGGAGTGTTTGCGTCCGGGAAAAATAATTAACATTTAGTGACATTTTAGAATGTGAAAATTTTAATTATAATGATGCACTATGAAAGAGGAATATTGATTGCACAAAGAGTAATAAATGGACATATGAAATGTTCCTATGAATATAGCGGTGTTGATAAGAATTCAGAATGTAAATTCTTGAGGTTTCGTTTTCGAATCGCATTCCTAACTTGAATAGTGCGTGTGTTGTGGGACCGATTAGGGATGGCAACGAGGGCAATTTTGGGCGGGTGTACCCCCTCGGTCCCCACAACCATTTAGAAATCCTTGCCCCATCCTGTCCCCACCCAAAACCGCCTAAACGGGGACCTTTCCACCTCATTCTCAGCCTGTTTAACTTTTTTTACTCCAGCGGGCACCCATCACGCCCCGTTTAGTTCCAGAATTTCACCTCATTTTTTTTTAATTTTTTTCTTTAAATACAATTATATAACTATTGAAAAAATCATTAAAAAATGGACAATCAATAATTTAACATAAAGGGTATGAGTATTCTTAGTTTGTAGGGCTCTGCCGCTTACTAAAACAGTTGAGAAAGTGAGTGAATGGATTTATGATTTCTAGAGCTAACTATATATATTAATAAAATAAGGGTAATTTAGTAATTTATCTATCTAAATAGGGCGGAGCGGGATGGGGTGACCTCCCTTGTCCTTGCCCGAATCCACGTAGGTTTTCATTAATAAAAATCATTTCCGACTAAATAAATTTAGCGGTCCCCCAAAACTGCTATAAACAGGGCGGAGTAGAGCAGGTACCCTTTCGTGCGGGATAAATTGCCAACCCTAAGACAGATACACATGCTTTAAGAAAAAATAATTATTAAAAAAATAAAGAAACAGATGAAATTAGCATGGAACGAAGTGATATTAAATATTCTAAAATTTAAATTTAGTAATTTTTTATTAAAGAAAATTATTAATTCATTTGGTCCACCCCACCCTAATATGATGATGTAAAAAAAATTATTAATCCATTTGGTCGACCCCACCCTAAAATGATGATGTAAAAAAAATTATTAATTCATTTGGTCGACCCCACCCTACAGTGATGATAATGACCAAGAATTTAATTATAACCACTCTTATATGTCAATTTCTTTCTAACTAAACATGCAGACCAACAGTTTAGATACATTTCACAAGCATTAGGTTTTCGCCACAAATGGTTAACTCATAGTCAGTGTCCACCCCCCAAAATCTGTGTCTAATCCATATCACCACTCAAATCAGGATAACATTCAACATTGCCTTCTGGTTAACACGTGTGTTGTCACACGCTTTCCAAAAACCCCCTACAAGACAGACGTCCAAACAACCCCTGCAGCCCAACTTGAAAGGATTGCGTGCGAAATGGGTCGGCCCACTTACTTTTTGCCACAAGAACCGTCCAACAAGTCACTTGACATTTGACACAAGTGAAAGAGACAATGAGTAGTGGACTTTAACCGAATATCTCAAATCCAAAGTTCTTTCAAAAACCAATTTAAATTGCTCATTTGCCAAATACGAATATATTGGCATCAAATAAGAGAAAAAAAATATATATATATATATGTGTGTGTGTGTGTGTGTGTTATTCTCTGCTATTCTTTTTTGTCTCAATTTAGGTCATGTCAGACGAGTTTGTTTCAGCATCAACACCTAAACCAACAAGTTGGAAGTTTTACATTATGTTCGAGTGGAATAAAGTTCATTAGAGGGTTGCTCCAAAGTCAAATTCAAATTCAAATTCCTACTAAAATTTATTGAGATTCTAAATATGAGGAACAAAATTTAAATGAACCACAAATCATATCAATTTCGTATACTAATTTTAATTTTTTTCGAGGTAAGACTGTTAAATTAAAAGTTAGAAGTGCGAATACTTGAAACTACTATACTTTCAAGGACAACAAAGGGCAACTCAACTGTTAGGCTCGATGAGTGTAGTAAGAGAAATTGTAATGATCGCATCCGCTCTATTAATAAAAACTCATTAGACTATACAACATGGCTTGAGAAATCAATTAAAATATAATTACCCTTTCAGATAAGCTTTCAATGAGTTGACGTTAGTTCAAGTTGTTTGATTTTTTAAGATTTAAATTTAACAAATAATTTCTTTTTAAAGTGGAACCTGAACCGTGTTTAATAAATATTAAATACAAACCAAATCATTTCCCATCAACATTAGTTTTATACAAATTAATTGGAATAATTCAATATAAATGGAACTTAGCAAACAGGTTTTCATTTTAATATTTGTTTGGCATATAGGTTTACATTCAGTTTAGTACAATATATTTTGGTTAACCTTAAACCAATTGCACCCATGAGTATTATTTTAGTGCCCCATTTATAGATGTGAATGCATCAAAAGGACAAGGAGATAAAGTTGGATATGCTCATCTCCTTTATACTAAAATAATAAATAAATACCCAAAATAAAATTGAGAAAAGAGATGAAGAAAGTGAAACCAACAAAGGGGTATGAATCAGTAACCCTTACCCTTTACCCTTACCCCACGTTTAGGAGTGGAGTGGGAACCACAGACGCACAGACCACGTTCAGTTGGGACCCACACAGCATGTCGATTGATGGGAGTGTTGCGGAAGTCCTGCATTGTATCACATTATCACATGAAAAGGACAATAATTAACCAAATAGTACTACTCCTATTAAGCTGAACACACCACTACACTAACCTTAAAAGTATTTTGTTAGAAAAAAATAAATAAATAAATAAACTTATCCTTTGGAAGCACCCTACTTCAAAACAGTGTTTATATATTCTCGTTTTTAAGTAAATTATCTTACTCGTGAACGAGTGATGGAGAATTGGTGATTAAAAACACCACCATTATATAAAAAGGAAAACCCCCTTCAACACCTTAATCGTTACTTTTATAATTATTTTATTATTGTATTTAGACTTGTATAAGTTTAGTGTTACAAGGGGAGACTTGTCCCACATCGAATCCGGATGGAAAGTAACATAAGTATAAATGGGTGGGTATGCAGCACTACCAATAGTTCGAACTTTTGGGTAAATGGACAAGCGTCCGCCCGTTACAATTGGTATCAGAGCCAGACCCAATCCTTGATCTAGTGCCCGGCCCGAAAGGCGTCCGGGTGAGCCACCCCTGGTAGACAGGGTGGTCCGACCGCAGCGAGGGTATTGCGAGTTCGGGTGGGGGAGAATGTTACAAGGGGAGACTTGTCTCACATCGGATCCGGATGGAAAGTAATATGAGTATAAATTGGTGAGTATGCAGTACTACCCAATAGTTCAAACGTCCGCCCGTTACATTTAGGGACAAGTAAATACGATTTCAAATAAAATTAAATCTATATTTATTATTAAACTAGAATAAAGAGGAGCCCAACCTAAACTCGGCTGAATTCATCAAGTTTATAAACCAACCAAAGAAACTCAAGTTCAACTCAGCTAAATGCATTTTCCGCCAACATCGTGTTGCACTTGCTCACTTTAACCTTTGGTTTTGGGGACCACACCAACAAATCTGAATGACGAAAATTTCGGGGGTCTTTTCCCGGTTTCTACCGCCCATGGCCCACGCGGTCTCTCCCTCCTCCTTCTCTCCTGTTTCAAAAAGTGTATAAATAAGGGTTGAAGGGTACCTTGCATAGGCTTGAAGAGGCCACTGCAAAGCATCTTCATAGCTCTGGTCTTCCTCCTCAATACTGTTAATCTTCCTTTTCTTTTCAATCTCCATCGTACAACAAAAAAGCATGGTCAGAATCAACTCCAACCCCACCGCTACCACTACCAAGTTCCTTTGCAGTTACGGCGGCAGAATCCTCCCTCGCCATCCCGACGGCAAGCTCCGCTACCACGGTGGCGTAACCCGTGTCCTTTCCGTCCACCGCTCCGTGTCCTTTGCCGGTCAGTTCTTTTTCTCTTTCATACTATAATATAATATAGTATCCTATCCATGTATATTTATTTATATCTATATATGTAGAATATGGAGTGAGATATTTATGGTGTGGTGTGGTGTGGTGTGGTGTGGTTATATAGAACTAATGGTGAAGCTCGGAGAGTTTTGTGGCACGTCGGTGAGTCTGAGGTGTCAATTGCCCACCGAAGACTTAGACGCTCTGGTATCCATCACCTCCGACGAAGATCTCGCCAATCTGATCGAGGAATACGATAGAGCTGCATCACCACCGTCCACTTTAAAGATCAGAGCCTTCCTTTCGCCGCCTAAATCCACCAAACAAATCTCTCCTCCTCCTTCAACTGCTTCATCTTCTTCATATTCCGCCGCCGAGATAGGTTCTGCTTGGAGGCCTCCGCCGGCTAAAAGCACCTATTCTGCCGCTGCGATCGGTTCTGCTTCGAGGTATCCGACGGCCGGTCGGTGCGTCCGTCGGATTTCGGCGAAGGCAGCGTTTCCCTTGTGCTATGAGAAATCCGCGGGAAAGCTTCCTCACTGTGCTCACCGGGGAATCCCTAACCACATCTACCTCGTCCACAATGGCAATCACTGGCAATAGCACTCAAAGTTTGATGAACGGATATTAAAATCTATGAGCAATAATATATACAAACATATTGAACCACAAAAATCAAGAAGATAAAACGTGAAGCTTCATCTGAGATGTAAAAAATGGGGACAAGGAATTGGTATTTATATGTGCAATTAATGGAATTATCAGTGCGATTTCGTTTTGGATGATTCCAATGTGATATGGTGAGCTCTGTTCGTCGCCATTGTTTTGTTGCAGCATTTTTTTCTTTTTCTTTTTCTGTTTCTCTTCCCGAGTTGCCGTCTTTAGGGTTCTGTTGAATGCCGTCAAAAACTTAACAGGAGATGCCATTCCCCATCATTTTCATGTTAGACGTTACAGTTGCCAAACAATCATCTGTTTACTTTGATGCCCAAGTCTCATAATCCAATTTCTATGTTCTATTTAGGGTATGTTTTGATTGTCTACATAAATTTTTGATCAGCTGTTTATTATTGTGATTTACAGGTTGAGTGACAACATTGAAACTTTTCAACCGACTGATCATGAAGGCTCCAATATCCTGCAAGTAACTGTAAGTAATTTCCATTTTTCTTTTTTCGTTTTTTGTGTTCCTTGACAGAGTATTTAATGTTATAATGGTTTCTCTATGTTTGGATTTGGAAGAAGCCCCAAGGAAGAGTGATCCAAACCTTGACATATGACATGGAAATTAAGACTTTGAACTTGGACTTGGAAATTAAGACTCAAAGTTATCGAGACAAAGATAGATCAGTATTAATTGAAAAGATTTGAAAACTCAAAATCACCATGACAAAATAAACCCATAAATTGACTAGATTCGACGAGGACTCAGAAGAAGGGAAGACCATGGGGATCGCTAAAAATAGATAGCAGCTGGAAAACAGATGAAAAATTAGAATGATTGGAGGATGGTGCTTTCAGTCTTTTTTTCTACCTAAATGGGCATGAAACCTTCTCTATGGTTATTGTATATTTTTCAGCTCCTTGGAACTGAAGTCCTGAAAATGAAGGAGAAGAGTATATACCCAATTACTTTCCAATTCCAATCCAAATAACCTATCATGTGCATATAAAGATACATTACACAGCAGTGTACTGTTCATGCCCAGAATAGGTCATGATCTTGATCTAAATTGAGCTTAATCACTTGGAATAATTAATTATACATAACCTTGACTGTAGAAAGAAGAAATAGAATATATGTATATATATATATATATATATGTATGTATATATACACATGACACTAGATCAAACTTAGAACAAGTGATTTAAATATGTAGATATGGCGATCATTAACAAAGATTGGAATTTGAATAATTGACCAGTAAATGATTATGACACATCATCCATTATGATAACGATATATTAATTAATGTAAAACACTCCTCGATCTTTTACATTGGATTATGATTTATAAATCTATTCATATGGTAGCAGATGAGATCATGGCCAATTTATTACAAAAACAAATGATCTTTGGAGTAGTCTTGGAGATGGACGAAGGCTTTTTTAAGGTTATCGTCCCCAACTTTTCTTTTTCTTTTTCTTTTTTCACTTTGTTTTCTTGTGCTTAACAAAGGATGCCTTCGAGATCACATGTTTTTGAGTCCTTTTGATAAATTCATTAAGAGAAAATAAGTCATCCACATCATGGACCCCAATGGAGGCACTGTATTTGTAATTCGCTTTAAAAGTGAGGTCCACATTCCACAAAGGTGAGCAGCAAGATAAATGGGATGATGAAACATGCTAAACACTTAGTCCAGCTGGAAATGATGGAACAATTGCCTACTTTGGGACCAGGGCAGCCTGAGAGGTCTCCACAGCTCCTTCCATTTTAATGCATGTTCGGTAGGAAAATGCCGTAAATTATACTTACTTCCTTGACAAATCACAGACAAATAGAACATTTGACATTTATTATTTTGACATCTCTTAAGAGTGTAAAGTATCTTTCATACTCTTATTTGATTTAATTTTAAAAAAATATGTCAAATCAGAAGACTATATTACCCTTTTTTTCCATTTATTACTCTACCACCACCACCACACAATTAAATTATTTATTAATTATATGGTCCACATAATTTAGACATGTAATATATTTCATTAATTAGTGGTTAAGTAAATAGATATCAGATTAAAATTATATTATTTGGTTAACTTATAAATTACTTTTATGATAATTAATTATTGGGGAAGTGTTTTCCTATTTATTCCTTACTTTGATGGAGAGTGGAATTAAGGTTACTAAAAATGAAAACTGATCTTCTCTCTGCCTTTATAAAAGTGCATATATCCCATCAATTATGAATGCTAATGAAAATAACACGTATAATATTTATGTATGCAAAAGACCAAGAGAGAAAAATCGATTTCCACGCTTTGGTTATTGCAGTTTAGCATATTGTTCGTTTCGCATAAAGGATCTCGAAGTTTGTCTTGATCTGTACGAGTTTTACAAATACGAATCGAAATATTTATATCTAACTATTTATTTATGCGTTATAGGAATGTGAGAATAATGAAGTTTTAAGATTTTGGGAATCATATTTATTTGTGATGAAGTTTACATGTGGTATCAAAGTTTATGGTTTAGGATCTCATTATTTTTCACTAATGTTGCATAAATAAAATTAAAATTAAAATTAAATAATTGATTAATATTTTCTTTTGGAATTAGTATGTATAGGCACACTGTGCGTTTTTTCTATAGATGAACATATTGTACGAATATGAACTGAACCTACCAATTACTCCACCTTCTATTTATTAGAATGTTGGGAAAATCCACGGCATGTAGATTAGTTTTTTTTTTACTCGTATTTTACAAACTTTCAACTGCTTATACAAAAGCAAAAAAAAGACTAAATGACAATCAAGATATATAAGTTTGTTTCTTAATTTCCGTGCATAATTGGAATAACACATGAAATTGAAAGTTTTAATAGAATTATGTTTGTTATTCTTCTGAAGAAACTTATTGTTATATAAGTTGTTGTCCAATAATTCAAAGATTTTATTTTAATTATTTAAAATAAATAAATAAATTATTAAATACATAAAGCACGTGTATTTATTTATTTTATTAAAAATCTGAATTTTTAGAATAATATGTGAGTCTAGAAATTTAATTTGATCTTATTGGACATACAAATAAATGATTGTTTTGTACCCAAACATATGTACATGATGGATAATCAATTTTAGATTGATTCAACTATGGCCCCTAAGTCCAGAAATAAAAAAAAATAAAATTTTATTATATATATAAAGTAAAAGGAAATTTTTTATTAAATTTTTGGACTATTAAGTTTCTGGGATCGAACTTACCTAAACTTGGATCGATCCGTAAGAGTATGTATGTATAATGTTAAATGGGTAAATTAATGATTAATTAGTTACCAGCTAATTTAATATTCATGTTATATGAGGGTTAGTAACTACCAAAGTAGCCTAACCATAATGATTGATGAATATTAATTTTAGTAGTAAATATAATTAATGATAAATTAGTCACTACCTAATTTAATATTCATATTATGTAAAGGTTGGTAGCTGCCAAAGTGGCCTAACCATAATAGTTGATGAATATTAATTTTAGTAGTAGACATAATTGCAATATTTCGTGAATAATTGATACTTATGATTTGTTGTGATATTCATGAATATTAAGTTTATTTAATTATGAGGAATAATTTCCCAAATGGAATTAATTTTCAAATGATTAAATAAAAATTAAGGGGTTGTATGTATTTTTTAATTAGGTAGATATAGGATATCCAAATGTAACTTATTTGTTTAATTAAATAATGCATCACCAATGAAGATAAACATATAAATACATGTAAGCATCATTATTAGTATTTTATAGTTTTCACCAAAAGGGGTACTATAGTTATACATTGTATTTATATTTTTAAGTTATACTTACGTATTGTTAACTCAAAACATTGTTGTTGTGAGTATTTTATCTTATTATGTTTCTTTATTACATCCCTTAATTCACATGTTACGTCTGTTCTGATTCTAAATAGAACTAACTTCTCATAATGGAATGAGTAAGTTAAGTTCAAAATTTAGGTGTGCTAAATCTTAATTTAGCATTTTAAATTGAGAAACCTACTGTTATTACTGATAAAGACTATGGGTAAGAAAAGATACTCCATAAGGCTTGGGAGAGTCGAGCAAATTAAGCATTATGGTTATGCGAATAATTGTTCCCCATAGTGATAGTATTAAGAAATATTTGACTAGAAGAATGTTTTCGTATTGTAAATAAATATCTAAAATTATATCACTACTATGTATTTTTGTTGGTACTCTTACCATGTATGGGTATATTCTTAAAATGACTAATGTTGTTACAAAATTGAGAACCTTATGCATGATTGTGGATGAGAATTTTCTTATTCAATTTATTTTCAATTTTTTGTTTACTAAGTGTGGGTCATTTCGAATTAACACTATTAAGACAAGTGGAAAGTGAAAGAATTGACCATTATGTTAATTTAGGAGGAGACAGGGCTTAAGCAGGAGGTAATTATTATGTTCATCTCGTGACTCGAGAAGGTAGAAAGAAATTTGGGAATAAACCTGAAAGGGCATTAAGTGAGCAACCCCAAAATTAAAAGATTTAGGTCAATCTACTAAAAGAAATGAATGTAATAATGTAAAAGTGTCATTTATGTATTGAACAATTTTAGAAATATTACATAAAACATAAATAATGATTCAAAAAGAAAGATAAGTCTTTTAACTTTTGTATATTTCGAATCACTTATTGATATTCCTTCTAATACATGATAGGTTAACTTAAGTACTAATGTTTATATTTCTAATAGATGCAAGGATTTCTTATAGCCTAACCACAAATTCAAATGAGAATTTCTTATTTATGAAAATTGGGAAAAAGTTTTGTTGAAACCATTTTGAAACCATTGAGACATTTTGTTTAGTCTTAGATAATGGATTTTATTAAAATTGTTTTAAACTCTTTATATTTCTTCAATTTCTTTCAATTTGATTTTATTTCAAAACTTTATGTTAATGATTTTTCCTTTAAATTTGATAATGATATTTATTCAAGAAATTCTAATTTGTGAGTTATGGTATTATTGTTGATAATTTCTGTAAATTTAAACTTGATAGTTTATTTATTAAAACCCTTTTGAC